GGGGGGGGGGCGTTACTGACGAGGCACCCATTACCGCTAACTGTCTGGCAGCTTAATAAAGGTTGCTTAAAAATTTCCGGCTTCTTATTCTCACAAATTCAGTAGCAAAAGTTTATTCTTGTCAGTAAATCAGCAGGTGAGGTGTGGATGCTCAGCGACGAGGGGCAAGGCCACAAATGCAATGAGGAAACATGCTATCAATGAATTTGCAAAAAAAGCTACAAACATCTGCATAACCACCCATAGTATGGCGGAACGGTCGACTACATGAACTACATGAACTTTTACTTGCTACTGCAATGCGAAAGGATATCATGCTAAGAGGTAGATTTTTCCGTTGTCCACGCGATCGAGGCTGATGCTCGAGATTAGAAGTCAGGCAGGTCATCAGGAGTTTCTGAATGACCAGCAGTGTGTACTTTACGCATGAAGGCTGAAGGACAAGTTTTGATTTTAATGGATGAGTTTCACAACCGATGATGGCAACATCAGTCACTGTAACTGCTATCCTCTGCTCATGAGATTAAAAACGCCAAATATTGTCTTTTCGCGCATTTTCTTCATATCCTTCTCGCCTATGATGACTAGAGCAATGAAGAGTATGATATTCATTTTTAAATCTGATTTGAATAAGTCATCTGTTAAATTACATACTCCGGCGTAAGAACACACCATGATATTCATACCGTTGCAGCTACTGGTGTATCAGCTCTTGAAACTTCGTTCGTGATGGGCGCGAGGTGGCTCTTGCTAACAGAATGATGGAAGACGCATCTGGCATTGCAGGTGCCAAAATATCATACTGTACGGCCTTGACCCGCTTAAACGGCTCCCTTGGGTAACTAGTAGCGAGCGAGCGGTGCAACACGCCTGAATCCTAGTGTGGACGAGTCATTCGTTAGTGTGGCTCACAGAGTAGAGGTAATGCCTGACCCCAGATTCCCTGATGATGATGATGTATGCCAATTCGGTTGAAACGTTGGAATTCTTTTAACCAAACAGTAATAATAGCGAGACCGGATCGAAGCAGCCAATGCAGAGTGTAAAGAAAGAAAAATCAGTTTCTCGCTTTACATCAGCTTCTAGACGCCTAGAGGTACTATTTAAGCACCGTCGCCATTGCCCTTTTTCCATCCCTCTGGCGCCTATAAGCAACGGGACGGTAAAACAGAGCCGCTGGTGTAAAGTGAGAAACTGATTTTTCTTTCTTTAAACTGCGCATTCGCCGTTTCAATCCGATATCATTATTATAAATGTATTTATTTGACCGTTCGGACTTCCTTATGAAATTATCAAAATATTTTTAAACAGTGGCTTTTCCATTCTCATCATAAATCATGATTTTACTCAACTAACACTAAAATTCATTAATGTGTGTTAATGCAAATATACATCACCTCCGTGTTCAATAGTAAACGAAGCGAGAAGATGAAAGCGCACCCTCCTTGGGTGGGCTGCGTGCCTTGAGGTATGCTAGGCTGGCACACGAATAACTGAAAAAGTTTTCTATGGCGCTCTCAAGATAATCTGCCTAAATCCAAAATTACATATGTGACTCTCTGTCTGTACGTTTCTCAAATGAAAACTAGTCGCCTTCAGTAGGATCAAGCGAGTTGCTGAACCGCCATTGAATAAAATAGTGCAATTTTTATATTCACATAAAATCGATGGTGTTTTGACGTGTTTGTTTCCACTGAACAAAGTTGCTCTACGTTGCCCTGATGCAGACAGGTACTAAAACACCATGTAACCGCGGTCTGCTCTAAGGATACCCTTGGACTCTACAAGGATGGGGACCTTGAGACTAAACCGTACGAATTCGCACAAGTGAACAAGAGACGAAAGTTCACAAGTGTTTTGTCGCCAATCATTCGCAGCCATGAACAAATTAGACTGAAGCAATAGCAATCAGCATACAGCACGAAGTAGATACCGAATCCTCAGGATATCGCAACGAACATAGTACGGTCGATGGCGGAAATCCCTGGAAATCGTGCAGTGGTTTTGCAGCATCTGGTTCGTTGTTGAAAATGCAGACGCCTTGCGGTGCCAAGCCGAAACCTAACCGCTGTAAGCTGAAATCATATCGTATCGCATTGGGGTGGCGTTGCTATCGATCAACCTCATACCTCGTATTATCGGCTTTCCCTCGCGAAAGCCGATATCCGGAGTTGTTCAGCGCACTCGGCAAGTTAGACTGAAAACGGTCGACATGCACAACGCAGCGCTCGTTGTGCTCATCTGTTGCTTATTATGTCTTGGCGACGGCGACTGTCGGACTTTCACGTTCAAAGCGGCGAAGCCGTTTCGACCCGGTGCGGCCTTCAGCCATCCGTGCGATTCAGCGTTCGTCAAACTCCGTTCGTCTTCCACAGCTGTGCTGAACGTCGACCAAGACTGGATGTTCAAGGACGTGGTCAGTTCTGGACCTTGCAGGCATGCACAATTACGTACAAAATGGCGTTTTCAGGTACTGCCGCAAGACGTGGAGATAATTTTCACCGACAGCGTGACGGTGCGTGAAATTCCGTTGGAAACCATGGCATGTGATGGCAACTCCGTTCGATACCGCGGTAATGCTGTTTTCAATAGGTGATAGGAAAGAAAACCACAGCATAAGAAACGGATACTTCAGCACAACAATTAAAGGCACACAGAAAACGTATATGAATTTATTTATTGTTTATTTTTTGGGCCGACGTTTTGAACCATACAGCAGTGTCCAGTCAACGTCGACCAAAAGCATACGGCCATCCTAAAACACGGTTCTTCATTTTACCCTTAAATATTTCGTATCAGAAAAAATTCCGTTTTTGACATTTCTTGTTTCAAACACTGGCATCGACTAGGTATGAATTTTATAACGACCCGTATGAGACCAAACTTTGTCACTCTACTATTGTATCAAGGCCTCTTTAAGACCTTGCGATAAATCTCTGTTTTCTGTGATTCTAATCCATGTTGATGCATTAGACTTCCTTAGCTCATTCCACCATCCATCTCGGAGGGGTGGGGCTTCTTGCGACCTGTCCAGTCGATTGTCAATTTACTTTCTTTCACACGAGCAGTGACATTGCAGACTTTTGTTTGTAATTTTACCCATTCATTGGTCTTCTTATCTTTTTATGTTATTTCCAATGCATATCGTAACACAGAGAGTTGCGTAATATGTACCTTGTGAATAACTTTCGGTGGAAGCCTGTGCTTAACACCAGTAAGGTCGCACTGGAAGCATACACTGATCACTGACTTCATATTTTGTCACAAGAGTGGTTCGTCAAGAAAAAAGGTTCCTGAGCTTTTAATTATCCTCCATGCCCTTTTAACGGTCTTACTGATTTCGTTCAGTTGACTATCACTTGCAAGGATAAGATGTTCCAGATGTAACTGTTCAAGACTTAGTCCACTGACTTCTACAGGCCTCTGCGCATTTGTTAAACATGACCTGAATTTTCTTGTTCATGCTCAGTCCCGCGTTGATGCCAACACTGCCCCTCTGTTGGATTTTCCTCTTTGTCGGCAAACCTTGCGCGCTTATTTAGTCCCATTCATCAGAATCCGTTGCTTCATCTAATTGAGTGTTTTCCGAACCTCGTTGTGAGCTGCTGCCAATAACTTCTGTGATAATGCACACCCTGTCGGGCAAAATTTTCGACTTTAGATTAGTTTTGCTTCTGAAGCTGCGCACCAGCCATTGCTCTCTTGTGTAAATCATTGCCAGAAGGTCTCAGTATCCTTCCTCGATTGTTTGATTCCTCAGAACACATAACGCTGACCAGATGGTGAATCAGTCGAAAATTTTCTTTAGATCGACCTGTGTTGAAGAACTAGGTATCATGAAAATAGTCAGGCTAAGAGTCGGTGATATAACTTCCGTTACATAGGAGGCGTCATTAAGGAAATTTCGAGAAACATCTTCATAATGAGTCATGTCCACATGAATCCCTGTTCAAGCTTATTTTGGGAAGTCAGCTTCTGTCTATGACGCGTGCACGCTTCGTCTTATTTGTCGTTAATATGATGGAAAGATCCACCGAAATATGCTCATCAATTATTCTCTGGCATCCCTGCCCTTGATGCTGAGTCATTCCAGCAAATCGAGTCTTCCTCATACTTGCTTATTTTTTAATTTAAGTGATGTATAAGCCCAAAGCTATAGTATTATGTGAATTTTAGAGCAAGTGATCAATCCTGTGCTCCAAAACTGGCACGATCCAAAAAGCTGGATTGTTTCTGGTAGCCGATCATTCGCTTTGCACGCTGATCTTATTCCCGGCTCCTACGATACCGCTGTGTTCCTTAAGAACGAAACATACTACGTGAACATTTCAGCACCTGCATCGATTGGAAGTCTGTTCATATCTGGAACAGTAAGTGTTTATCTTGTTTGAAAGCAGAAAAAGATGCAGTTTATTTTTATGCAGTGTTAAGAATTTGCTCAGTCACGTGACTGACCGATATCAGTGTTTCGTCTTAACGTGTCTTCTACAAGGTAAAGCAGGGAGTGAGCCAGAAGACGCTCTAGCTCCAAGCTTATGAACTTCTGCAGACGCAAAAGATCATTAAAAATCACGTAATCTCGGCTAATACCTATCGGATAATTTCGAACCACTAATACTTTTGTTCGCATCGTCATCTGAGGTATCAGAGTCAAGGGCCGAGTATCCAGATTAATCATGTCTGACGATTTGATTTTTCAGAATCATTTAGGCGATGTTGGTTTCTGCGACAAAGGTCAAACAATCGTCGAAAGCAAATCCGCCACCAGCTGTTGCTTTAAACTGCGATGCTGGTGTCCGGCTATTTTTTGCTTCAGTGAGAAGGAAGGTTTTGGCCAAATCTCTAATGGTTACGTCAAACCAGGACAGACTCCGATCCCCTATTTCTTCAGACAGCGCCATCAGGTCGGCCATCTCCATGATGCTTCATTCTTCATTCGATGGAACCATCGCGTTTTCAGAATGTTCCGCAGACAACACTCATAGTAGCCAGCCTCTTTTCATGACACTTTATCAGGGTGAATGTTTCGAGGCTGAACATCAGGATTGAGAAGACAGTGGTTTCCAGTATGGTGATCAAAATCTATAGATCGGTTTTGCTCTACCTCACTTACGAAGTTCACCAAACCCCAGCCCCATGCCCCTCTATTTTCATTTCGTAGTATGCATTTCTTGCCAGTATGCAACAGAGGGACTAGGGGTTTCGACCTCGTTGATGGTCTTCAACTCCGATCACTCTTTGGCTCATTAGTAGAGTCAGGTGCTTGCAAGATCTTCGTTTTGATGGGGTTACCTTCTAGACAAACCGTCGAGCATACCTTGCATACTTATTGAGCTAGTATCAGTAAACCATTGACGGAGTCGCTCAGCAGTACAATGTCGTCAATGTACTTGAGATTTGTTGAGTACTGCTAGGCAATGCTGAGTCTGGTAATATATCCGTCACTGTTGCTGGGGACGACGCTCCTCAGGATCACTTAATCCCCCACCATGTTGAATAATAGAGGTGACTGCACCTCTTCTTTGGTACTCCTTTGTTGATATTGAAGCAGTCTGACAACCACTCGTCTGCTCTGAAGGCAGTTGTATAC